ATATATATGGGTCATTCCACCAAATAAAATCATTTTTACGGGGCGACCCCCGCCGATTTTTTTTAAACTTCGTAAATATCTTCTGTACATTATAAAAAAAATTTCCTGAAAGTTTGGGCCCTTATTAGACAGCCATTTTGAAATTATGATTTTTTGAATTTTTGAAAGAATTTTTATTTCAACTTTTTCATTAATTTTTTTGACGTAGAAAATTTTTTTATAACAATTGGAAAAAGATAGCTTTTTGTAGGAAAAATTCTCAGCTTTTCAATGAAAATATTCATTTTTTGTCATACGCAACAGAAGACCCTTTAAAATTCAATTAAAGTGAAAAAACCGATTTTTCTCACTGTGCGGCGTGTGTTATATCAAATTTGAAATTTTTTTCTGAAAGCTGAGAGTTTTTCCTACAAAATATGTCATTTTCACGATGTGCATATTTTTTGTTTAATCACAATTAAATGAAATGTCAACTTTTTACAATTAAAAAACTTTTATTTTTGAACTTTTTTCGGATGTTGATACAGTTTTGATGTAAGCATATCCTATGTCATCATTTATAGGCAAGAAAGTGTGCAAAGTTTGTGTGCCCTTTACTATTTTTGATTGAGAATATCGTGCGTCTAACAAATTTTTTTTGTTTAAATAATCTTCATTTGTAATAAAAGTAAAATTAACGCCTGTGAAATTCTTAGTAGCCCAAGTGTACAAATCTTGCAGGTTCAGTAAAACGGCTTGCTGCTAGAGCTTCATTACAAATGGATACTAAAAAACACATACTCACACCGCAAGATTTGTACAAGATAAATTCCATTATTTAGTACAGTCTACTATAAAGGACTCGCGTGCGTATGAAGTTGTTAATAGCTTCCCTTTCACAGCAGGTAATTATGAGAAAGCCATACAAAGTCTCGAATCTCGATTTGGAAAAAAGGATTTATTGATTGAATTTTATGTGCGCGAACTCTTAAAGTTAGTCTTAAATAAAGGTAAAAATGTGTCGCTTGTCTCAATCTATGACAAGTTAGAACACATATGCGAGCGCTCGAGACCTTGGGGGTAACAACAGATATGTGCGCAGCTATGTTATTCCCCTTGGTAGAATCTTCCCTGCCAGAAAAGACATTGCGAATATGGCAACAAACAATGACTTCGTCAATTCCTCAAGGCGACGTATCTGTTGTGACTCTTAATGCAAAAGACCGTCTCACTAATTTAATGGCTTTTCTAGGAAGGGAGGTTGAAAATGAAGAGCGCATACAGATGGTCAAAACGTGCTTCGAAAACAGCGACGCACAGTGGTCCGGATCATACTGATATGCGCGCATGAGATTAAAAAACTTATCATGATAAATCATAATATTATTATAATATTCCTTCAGAAAACATTCTGAGAGAATTAATAGGTACATTCGAGCTCTTAAATCCCCCCCCTTTCTATTAAAAAATATATGGAATCATGCGTGTTGTATTTGTGAATGATTTTATGTGATTTCTCAAGCGCATATGAGACCCGATTTTTCAATTAATCCACTGGTAATGGTCGCAATGAATAAATGTGTCAGAATAAACAAAGTAAGTATTTTACTTTTATGCAAAAATAATTCATTATTTTTATTATATAAGTGTAAATATAAAATATTTAATGTAAAACATTTTGTTATGCTAATTTACATTTTTTTAAATGATGTAACTTTTTAGGTTCACGATTAGGGTTACGATGAATTAAATTTTATAATATAATATGAAATTTGAACAATTAATCCCCGCAAAATTGAACTGCAACTTTTTGCAACTTTCGGCGTAATAAATCAGAGTTCGAATCTCGCGTTTCAAGCGCTTATTAGATAAAGCAGTTGATTTTACAATGCGGTTTTTATACAAAAGTTTCTTACTTTCGACAAGAAGTTCGGAGGGAATTCAAAAAATTGAAATTTACGTTAAGAAACATCTTGGCGACATACCGGATTATTGTGACATTTCCATCCACGCGCGCGAGCGATATTTAGTCCCATGCGCGCATATCAGCCTGATCCGGACCACTGTGCGACGTCCAGACCAAAGATAAAAGTAAAAGAAAACCGAAGAATGAATCAGCTCGAGATTCAGATGTCGCCACGGCAGCTGATTTGTTAACTGTGAAGGAAACAAAGCTACAATGTTTGTTTTGTGAAAAGAATCACGACAGTTCGCGCTGCGAAAAGGCAAGAAGCATGAATATGGACGAGAGGACGAAGGTCGTAAAAGAAAGAAAAGGCTGCTTCAAATGTTTAAAGGTGGGACATATCTACTTAAAATGTCGCAGTAAAGAAAGATGCCCTTGGTGCGGAAAAAGACATTCCCTCTTGGTATGTAGAAATTTATCTAATAAAAGCGAGTCAAAACAGGTCAATGAGAAAAAACCTATCGACTCAGATTTCAATGAGGGCAACAGTTGTCTCGCTAACATTTCGTCAAGTACTAAAATCTTTTTGCCAATATTAAAGGTTAAGATAAGTGGTCCGAAGGGTAAGGTAGACGTCCGAGCTGTCATAGATACCGGCTCACATCGATCTTATATTTTAGAAGGAATAACGAAGACTCTAGGATACGAAGTTGTAGGCGAACAGACAATGATACATTTGCTGTTTGGCGGAAGCAAAACCAAACCCCAGAGACACAAGGCTTGTCGAATTTATGTCACCAACTTAGATGGCACATACAAATGCGACTTCGTGGCTTTACAACAGAGTGTCATTTGCCAAGATACACCCAGGATGAGTAGCGGACCATGGATAGATATGCTTAAAAGAAAAGATATACATCTACATGATACTGGCGAAGATGAAGCACCCATTGTTGATAGAAGCTGATATTGCCGGTAAAATACTTACTGGAAAGGTACTTCAAATTGATCAAGGAATAACGGCTTTGGAAACCAAACTTGGTTGGACTTTTTTGGGCAGAGAATTTGATGATAACAGCGAGTCAGATGCAGCTTTAATAGTTATGTCCATGCTCTCTCAAGAAGCAAATGTGTCGGACTTATGGAGACTTGACACACTGGGCATCACTGATCCAATAGAAAGCATTACAAAAGAGGCCCGTCTGACTGAAATTAAATAACTGTTTCAAGAAACAACCAGGGTCAACGAGGAAGGTCGTTACGAAGTTCTTCTACCATGGAAGGAAAATCATCCACCTTTACAAGATAACAGAGATGTTGCGGAGAAGAGACTAAAAGCAGTCACCAAAAAACTAAGACATGAAGATTTGTTTGAAGATTATAACACAGTCTTAAACAATTGGCTTGCCGAAGGTATCATCGAGAGAGTGCCTACACACGAAGTCTTAAAGAAAAGCTATTACCTGCCACACAGACCAGTTGTTAAGAAGGAAGGAACTACCAGGATCCGACCGGTTTTTGATGCCTCAGCAAAGACTAAGAATTCACCTTCACTCAACCAATGCTTAGAAACCGGCCCTAACCTCATTGAACATATCCCGGCGCTGTTACATCGGTTTCGAGAAAGAAAGATAGGAGTGACCGCAGACATTACAAAAGCGTTCTTGCAAATTAACATCTCCTCGTCGGATCGGGATGTGTTGAAATTCTTGTGGTGGAGTGCGAATGGAGAATTGGAGACTTACCGTCATCGGCGAGTAGTATTCGGCGTAACAAGCAGCCCATATCTTCTAGGAGTCACTATCGATATGCATATCAAGCGGGCTCTACAGGCTAATGTTCCGCCATGCCACAAATCGATTTACGAAAAATTAGCAAAGTCTTTCAATGTCGATGATTGTGTTACTAGCGTTGATTCTCATTCTGATTTCGAGATTTTTCAGAAAGAAGCCAGTTTCCTACTGAATCAGGCAAAATTCGATTTGAGAGGATGGAAGTGTACAGGAATGAACTCAGAGAATCGGACAACCATACTCGGACTCGTTTGGGACACTAAAGGTGATACGCTCTCATTTTCCTTCACGTCCGATCCCTGAAAAGATAACGAAGAGAGAAGTACTATCACGAGTACACCAAGTGTTCGATCCTCTCGGATTCGTCAGTCCAGTGCTCTTGAAGCCGAAGTTAATGTTGCAACGTCTCTGGAGTCAAGATATGGACTGGGACACTGAAATCGATTCCGACAGCAAAGACGAATTTATAGAATGGACGCAACAACTGGATCTTCTACATATGTTGAAATTCACTCGATGGATTTTTGGAGAGAAAAGAGATACCGAATCATTATCCTTTCATGTCTTTGTGGACGCTAGCAAAGACGCTTACGCGGCAGCGCTTTTCGTAAGAGTAAAATCGGACACAGGGATTGAAGTTCATCTCATCGAAGCTAAGTTAAGAGCCCCGAAAGGAAAGAAGACTATACCTCGTCTCGAATTGTTGGCCGCCTCTATTGGAGCTAGACTACTGCATTCTTACATCCAGGCCACCAACTACCGAGACATCAAGACATATCTCTGGAGCGATTCAACCACTGTCTTAACTTGGATACGTCAAACGAGACAATGGGCTGTATTTGTGTGGAATCGCGTCCAGGAAATAAGAAGACTTACAGATGTTGAATCTTGGAGATACGTTCCAGGGGAAATGAACCCTGCGGACTTACCTTCTCGAGGCTGTGATGCGAGAAAACTTTTTGACTCAAGATGGTGGGAAGGACCCGGATGGTTGAAGCTTTCCCCCGATCAGTGGCCTGCAGAAGAGGGTGAAGTCAACGAGGAAAGGATCAATATGGAGCTGCGTAAGACTTCTGGGCGATCTAAAAAGAAAACCACCTTCGAAGTCCCCATAAGCGAAATCGTTATGATCAACTCTACGAAGGTTCCTAGTGAAGAGGTTATTCCTTGGTATTTAGACAGATTCTCGTCTTATCCCAGGATTTTGCGCATGATCGCGTGGATAACAAGATTTTTAAACGGTTGTCGCAAGATCTGTATGACCAAGGAACGAGAGTTAAGCGCAAAAGAGATTGTTGCCGCTGAATTACTTCTTTGCAAGCTAGTACAAAAGGAATCTTTCTCAGGAAGAAATGATCCCCGTTTACGTGGATTGAATGCCTTTGAAGATGATGGACTTTTACGAACTAAGACCATAATCTCCAATCGTCAAGATACTTTCCATTTTAGATGCCCTATATTGCTAGATCCAGCGCACCCATTGACTAAGAAGATTATCTACCATCTACATCTGAAGCTTAATCATGCTGGCATCAACATTGTGATGAACAATCTAAGAGAAATTTTGGATTCTACGGTACCGCCGCAACGTGGCCTCTGTCATACACAAGTGCACAACCTGCCGTCGACACATGACGAAAAACCTGGAGGTATCCTCTGCCACATTGCCTCAGAATAGAGTAAGAGATGCTTCTGCATTTGAAGTGACGGGCATCGATTATGCTGGACCTCTTTTCTTAAAGGAGGAAAGTAAAGCTTACATCTGTCTATTCACATGTGCTATCTATCGTGCGGTCCACTTGGAACTAGTCTCGTCATTGTCAAAAGGAATTTCTGGAAGCTTTGAGACGGTTCACAGTGTCATGGTTTTCATAGTCCGCGCCGTCGTGAAGGCGCTGTTAGTTATGTTGGCACGACTGTGTGCCCCCCGCTCTTGGCGCGCGGTCTAGAGTTAGTTACTTATGGAAATACACGCATCTCTCCACGCTGTATCCTCAATACACTAATATAATAGATATCAGCAGATTAATTATTCTCATCCTCTCTTCCGCTGTCCTGAACGTGACATGGCGCAGTCGGTAGGTTGAGTGTCTTCAAGAAATACGTTACACTGATAATTAACCTACTTACAAGCGAAGTAGAAAATACAAGCAAGAAATCCGCCATTACGCTACGCGATAACAAGTACGCGAGACAATGGAAGTGGCACTACAACCACCGCCAGCGTTGTTGTTTGAAGGAAATATCGCTGAGAAATGGAAAAGGTGGAAGCAGAAGCTTGAATTATATCTTGTGGCCACGGGATTAAATACGCAACCGGAGATAAGACAGGTAGCAGTTCTACTTCACACTATTGGTGAGGAGGCACTCGAGAAATTCAATACGTTTGGTCTCAGTGAGGAAGAGAAAAAGAAGCTGCCAATAGTTCTCGAAGCATTTGAACGGTATTGCACACCTAAAGCTAATGAGAGTGTGGACCGTCACATATTTTTCGCCCGAATGCAACAACCGGGCGAGACATTCGATTTCTCACGGATTTAAAAAAGCTAAGTATACCATGTGGCTTCGATTCGCTTCGAGACAGCTTAATCAAAGACCGTATCATCAGTGGCGTTAACGACGCCATTTTAAAAAATAGATTACTTCGCGAGGATGACCTCAATCTAGAGAGATGTATTAAAATCTGTAAAGCTGCAGAATTAGTACAGCAACAGATCAAGACACTGGCTACGGAAACAAAGGTACTTGCAGTCAACGCCAAGCAGAATACGGCACAGACAGGCGTGAACAAGCAGCAGGCGAATAAAAATAGACGACCTGGAAGAAAGAACAACCACGCTAGGAAAGCACTACCATCTCCCTCAACGCAGGATGCGAATACAGGCCAACAGATGACTACTAAGACATGCTACAGATGCGGTACCAAACATCCTCTACATCAGTGTCCAGCATATCGTAAAACGTGCGCTAAATGTAAAAAATTAAATCACTTCGCTAAGGTATGTAAGTCCGTTAACAATAATGTAAAAAGCATAGAGCAGGTAGAGCAAGATGCATCACAAGCTGAATTTGTAGAACAATTTTTCATTGGGTGTATCGATGCTAAGCGTAATCACGATTGGTCAGAAAAGTTATTAATAAATAATAGTAAAACCTTAGTGGTGAAATTAGATTCAGGAGCACAATGTAATGTACTACCACTTAAAATTTTTGATGAATTAGAACTTTCTCGTAGCATTGTACAGAAATCAAACGCAAAATTAACGACATATGGCGGCAATCCGATTACAGTAGTTGGTAAATGTTGCATTAAATGTACAACTTCTAAGAATGTGATTACTCTAATCGAATTTGAAGTGGTAGATGCAATAGCTCCTGCAGCATTAGGACTACCTACTCTTTCAAAACTGAATTTATTAAAAAGAGTTGAGACAGTTAATGTTACTAATTGCAATATAAAACAATTTGTACAAGGATCGGGATGCATTTCTAATTATGAATATGATATTAAACTAAAACATAATACAGGTCACATAGAGCCATGCAGAAGAGTTCCTCTTAGACTTAGAGACAAACTGCAGAAAGAACTCCAAAAAATGGAAGACGAAGGAATTGTCGAGAAAGTACAAGAACCAACTGATTGGGTAAATGCTCTTGTTGTAGTAACTAAAAAAGACGGAAGTCTTAGAGTTTGTTTAGATCCGCACCATCTAAATCAAGCTATTCAAAGAGAATATCACTATATTCCAACGTTTGAAGATTTATGTTCAAAGATGGCGGGATCACGCGTATTTAGTACACTGGATGCAGACAGAGCATTTTGGCAAATTAAATTAACAGAAAAAAGCTCTAAACTTACAACTTTTAATACGCCTTATGGCAGATACAAATTCCTGCGACTTCCATATGGAATTTCTTCTGCCCCTGAGGTATTTCATAGATGCTTCCAAGACATTTTTTCAAATATTGAAGGAGTGGAAGTATATCTAGACGATATAATAGTACATGGTAAGGATGAAACAGAGCACAACAAACGACTTATGGAGGTACTTAATCGAGCTCAACTACGAGGTGTCAAATTGAATCTTAATAAATGTAAAATAGGTCTATCTAGAATTAAATATATGGGTCACATTTTTTCGAGCGAAGGTATTAGCCCAGATCCAAATAAGGTAACCGCTATTTTATCTATGAAACAACCGACACATGTTAAGGAACTGGAAACATTTTTAGGCATGCTTACATATCTAGGGAGATTCATTCCAAACTTATCACAAAAATCTACTAAGCTAAGAAATCTTACTAAAAGAAATACTGTCTGGTTGTGGGATCAAAACGCTGAGCAGGCATTTAATGATCTTAAAAACAGTCTGAGTACAGCACCAGTTCTACAATTTTTCGATTCACGTAAACCAGTAGTTGTTAGTGTAGACGCCTCTCAGTCGGGTCTTGGTGCAGTTCTCCTTCAAAACAATTTACCAGTTGAGTATGCATCACGTTCATTAAATGATACACAACAAAATTATGCACAGATTGAAAAAGAGGCTCTAGCAATTGCATTTGCCTGTAAACGTTTCCACTATTATATTTATGGTCGACAAGTTGTCGTCGAAAGTGATCATAAACCACTAGAAGCGATATTTGCGAAACCTCTGAATAAGTGTCCGGCTAGGCTTCAAAGAATTAGGTTAATGTTACAACCTTATGACATTAGAGTACAATATAAACCGGGAAAAGAATTATATTTAGCCGATGCGTTATCACGATCATACTTGACAGATGAAAGCTCGCTCTTAGATGAGGAAATAGAGGCACAAGTGTGTATGATTAGAGACAATCTACCCATTAGCGATCCGCAATATAAACGTTTTATACATGAAACATTACACGATGCTAATTTACAATTGCTTAGACAATATATAGAGAATGGGTGGCCTATTAACAAACATTCAATTCCAGATTCCATTAGAGTGTACGCGACATTCAAGGATGAACTGTCCATAATAGATAATCTCATTTATAAAGGTATACGGTTAGTGGTTCCCTCAAGTCTTAGACAGGAGATGCTAAAGAGAATACATTATAATCACCTGGGCATAGAAAAATGTAAGTCACGTGCTAGAGAAATATTATTTTGGCCCGGTATGTCTAAGCAGATTACTGATATTATACAAAATTGTGAGACTTGTTTACGGTACCAAAGAGCTCAGAAGAAAGAGACATTTGTAAACAAAGACATTCCTCAAGGTCCGTGGCAAGTCATAGGCGTAGATTTGTTCTACTATGCTGGCTGTGAGTATCTACTGGCAGTGGATTACTTTAGTAAATATGCAGAGATGGCGAAACTTAGTGACTCCTCTAGCAGCACAGTTATCACACATCTTAAATCGATGTTCGCGAGGTTTGGCATACCTAACATAATATACTCGGACAACGGTCCGCAGTTTAAAAATTCGTATTTTCGAGAGTTCTCATCCAAATGGAATTTTGAACATAAAACGTCAAGCCCTAGATACCCACAGTCGAATGGTTTAGTGGAACGATTCGTCGGTACAGTCAAGCAGATGTTAAAAAAGTGTGGAAATGATGGGAAGGATATATACTTGGCATTACTTGAATACAGGAATACTCCTATAAGCGATAAAATTCCTTCACCAACAGAATTAATGTTTGGTAGAAAAACTAGAAGTATATTACCCACCATGTTAAAAGATTCTTGTGAACAGACCAGACAATTGCTTGAGGAACGACGAAGCGTTCAGAGGAAATACTATAATAGATCCGCTAAAGATCTAAGTTCTCCGAAATTAGGCGATCAGGTTTTAGTGAGAAAAGATATGTGTTCTCCACTACAACCTGCTCAAGTCATTGACACTTGTGATAGGCCGAGATCTTTTAAGATAGCTATGCAAGATGGCTCGACAGTGGAAAGAAATCGCAGACACATATACAAAGCTCCGCGTACTCTGAAACCACTGCTTTGTACTTCGGAATTAGAGGACTATATGCCCCCTACATTTGACTGTAATACATCCAATAAAGTCGATGATTCGAACGCGGGATCTCATATAGAACAGAATTCGAACAACAGTCCTGAAACTAAGCGAACGGTTGAAAAGGCTGACAACTCTCCGACCCCACTTCGTACTCGTTCGTCTAGACTTGTCAAGCCTCCGTCATATCTTAAAGATTATGTCACTCATTAATAATTATTAGCCGCGATATTTATTATCTCTTATTCAAAATATGTTTTGTACGTTTATTTTAGTTGACTATCCTTAGTCAGGACTTTCTCGTTTTGTTATATATATAAAAAAAAAAAAGGATGTCATGGTTCTCATAGTCCGCGCCGTCGTTATGGCGCTGTTAGTTATGTTGGCACGACTGTGTGCCCCCCACTCTTGGCGCGCGGTCTAGAGTTAGTTACTTATGGAAATACACGCATCTCTCCACGCTGTATCCTCAATACACTAATATAATAGATATCAGCAGATTAATTATTCTCATCCTCTCTTCCGCTGTCCTGAACGTGACACACAGCTCGTCGGGGAAGACCGTCTGTGATCTACAGCGACAATGGCAGAAACTTTGTAGGAGCTGCAAATCTACTACAAAAGATCAACTGGAAAAAGATCTCCCAGTATTGTGCTCTTAATGAAATGGAATGGTATTTTAATCCTCCTTCAGCTGCTTGGTGGGGAGGATGGTGCGAGCGTCTTATCCGCATACTGAAGGAGCTGTTGAAAAGAACGTTACGGAGAGCTTCTTTGAATTATGAAGAAATGACCACGGTTCTATGCGACTGCGAGGCCATCATGAATTCAAGACCACTTACCTACCTAGCCGAAGAAAACACTGAAGTTGCTGCTATTACTCCCGCCATGTTTATTAAAGATGTAAGAGAAAGTGGCGTTCCAGATTTAGATCAGATTAGCAATTCTCACTTTGCAAAAAGACTGCGCTATCGTCAACGATTACGAGAAGAACTAAGAAAGCGCTTCCGCATTGAATATCTGGGACAACTATCCCGACGAACCAAATGCGAGAATAAACCCACTCAAATCGCCGTTGGCGATGTTGTACTCATCGGGAACGACTTGCAGAAGCGTTTAGATTGGCCGCTCGCCGTAGTAAAGAAATTTTCTTAGGAAAGGATGGATCCGCCCGCGTGGTGAAGCTAACAACTGCAAAAGGTGAACTAATCCGGCCAATACAAAGATTGATATCCCTAGAAGTGAGACACCCCGATGCTGAGATTAACCAATTACTCAAGACGTCAAAAGCTCAGGAATCGCCACAGAAAATAGTCGAGGAGTCGAAGCCGATTCCTAAAGAAGAAACAGGCCATAAGACCCGAGGCGGTCGTACAGTCAAGAAACCTGTGCGACTTGATTTATAATTATTTTTTTTGCTGTCTTTTAGGATAAGTTGAGTTGCCCTGTACCCTATACAATGCAACTCAAGGTGGGAGAGATGTTGAGTACGCGCCAAAAGGATAACCAGAGGCGCGCGCCCTCCTCGCTGAATCCACCTACTACCGAGCGCACTTACTTTTTACATACATTCACACTCTTAGACTTCAGCATTGAGCACGAGAAAATTCCGCAAGATTTATATTTTTGCTCTTAAAAGACGTGTACGTTTAGAAGAGGCTCGTAATAAATATTGTATCTTGATATATTTGTCTGTGCATCGCCTTTATTCCCCGTCTCAAAATAATCGGCTGCAACAGTGTAAGATGTCTTAAGGATCCCCTTAAGAACTCCACGCTGTTTCTTCATGCAAACTACATGCCTGTGGACTATTATTTCTTAAGTACAGATTGCGCAACTTTTATACAAAACAAATGTTGTTATGACGTGCAACGACGTGACAGCTCTGGAGCGCCATATTGGCCTAAAAAATGGTAAATAAGAACTGAATTTTGAAATTTTTTATTGTTTTCAGCATAGATTCTACCTCACAGGCACGTATTAATACGTATACTTTAATTCTGTAAAAGGATTTTCGAATCTGTGAATGACAAAAAAAAGTATTTACGATACAAAAATTGTACGATTTAGTCGTAATACAGACTACTTATTTTAGGATCCCCTTATACATAAAAAATTTCAAGAAATTTCTTGACTTCTTGTCAAGAAATCTTGATCTTGATAACACATTACTTGGTTTTGACTTGAAATTATTTTCTTCTTCTTGTTTTGGTCTTGTCTTGATTCAAGACAAAACCAAGACAAGATTTCTTGAACTTCTTGATCTTGGTGAAACACTATTTATTATTTACCAAATTATGATTATTTAAAATTTGGTAAATTTTTTCTAAATATATAGTGTACCGCTTTTTTGGAACTGCGTGACATGTCTATGTTTTATAATATTTTCGATATACACGTGCAGACGTATGTATCTTTCTAAAATTTATGAAATATGCGAGGAAGAGCTAACTATTACTTATACAATTAAATTATTATTATCTCTATTATTATTATTATTATTATTATTATTATTATTATTATTATTATTATTATTATTTGTATAATAATTTAGCAATTAGAAATTACAACTTTTTAGCCATAATAAAAATAAAAAATTTAACATTTCTTTAAGATAAAATTTAATTACAGATAAGGGCACTTTTCGATCAAATACAATACGATTGGCAATTATTAATAACATCTTCACAAATGAAAATTCTTAATAATTACGCACAAAGTGGACGGATATTTACGATCATATACGCGAGTAAGCATAATATGCCGTAAGTGATATAAGAAAATCCTATGAAACATTTTTTTAATTCCAAAAAATGATTTTCTAATAGCGATTTTACATATATCGGAAATTCCACGTCAAATCGGGGGAACCAAAAAGAATTAACATTTTAAATTTTTGTGAAAATTTTCTCTTATCTTCTACACATAAAAAAAATGAGATACGTGTTTGGGGAAACAATTAAAAAAATGTTATCACGAAGTTATTATATTTTTTTTCTCAAACACGTGTCTTATTTTTTTATATCTAGAATACGTCTGTAAAATTTCACAAGAATCAGAATCTTTGATTTTTTTTTATCAAAAAGTGACCGGTTTGACGTGTATAATGCCTGATATATGTGTGTGTATATACATATACATATATTAGGTGATAAATAACTAGCTTATTTTTGATAATACAAACAAATGTTTTAGATGAAAGTGGAACGGTTTTGAAGGGGTCGTATTTTCACGTGGTTTTCTGTTTAGGTAAAAGCACCAAAAAGATATAAAGGTCAACTTCATTTTTTTAAATGAAATTACGTGACTTTTTATATAATATAATGATTTCTTTAACAATTCTGCATATAAAAGTATGAAGATACAGATATAACAAAATCAATTTTATGAAATATTTTATACTTTATATATTTTGATATATATATAGTAGTAGTAATAGATAAATGCAGGTGGGCTTAACTAGCCTACTAACGCGACCTAGATCCATGAGGTTCCTTTGTCGCTTCCTGTTTGTTCCGTAGGTCATTCAGTCAAGCCTAGCCTCGTGACACTTACCAGACTTATTAGACTGCTAACCTTCGCATTTTCTAGATCCTTGGGTGTCATAAACATATGTCCCCAGGATTTGTATCTTTTACAAGCGAGTGCAGGGCATCGGCACAGTAAGTGCAGGTTGTCCTCGCCTTCTTCTCCACATAGCAGGCATTCTTTCTGCTCCGCTAGTCCTAGATTGAATAGATGTGCTCTGAGGGGCAAGTGTCCTGTCAGGAGGCCTATGCCACTTTTCAATTTTGCTTTTCCCATTGCCAGCAATTCTTTGGTTCTTGCTGGATTTGGAAGTTTCATGAGTTGTTTGGCTCGTTTACAGCCCTCTGCCCCCTTCCAGGAGTTCGAGTGCTCACGTTCTAGCCATTCTTTGATCCTTTTTGTTCCTGCTGAAAATGGGACCCGACGATCCGTTCAGCCGGGACCTTTTCGGTGCCCAGCTTTGCCAGCTCGTCGGCCCTCTCATTTCTAGGTATACCCTGATGTCCAGGGACCCATACTAGGGTTACTTGGTTTGTAACCCCTAGTGTTGTGAGTGCTTGCATGCAGTCTCATACCACAGATGATTCTGTGGAGGTTCTTGCAAGTGCTTCGATAGCCGCTCTGCTATCAGTATAAATATGTATTTGTTTCCTGCTTTTCCCCTTTAACAGGAGTTCCGCACATTTTTGGATGGCCAGCACTTTAGCTTGAAACACTGTGGCCAGCTCACCCATTGGTATGCTTACCTCATGGTTAATATTAGGCCCATATATACCTGCCCCATATCGACCGTTTGCTCCCGATCCATCCGTGAATCAAGTGTCTACATCTGGATTGGTTTTGTAGGTGTGCTTCCAGTCCTCCCTAGTCGGTATTTGAACTTTGAAGTTTTCACCAACTAGTGTCTTCTGGGGATTCTGTCTTGTTTTAGATTGAAAGGGTGTTTATCAGAAAGTCACAGTCTTGTGTGTCCAGTCCTGGTTTCCTTCCACTCATCCTGACATCTTAATCTGTATGCTGTTTGTCTGGCAGTGTATTTGATCACTTGGTTTAGGACTTGCAAGTGCTTCGATAGCCGCTCTGCTATCAGTGCGTGTATATGTATGTGCGAGTGAGTTGTATCTCAATCCCAATATAATAACGTCATAATAAAATTATATATGGATGTAACATTTTGTATATAGCTTGAAACACTGTGGCCAGCTCACCCATTGGTATGCTTACCTCATGGTTAATATTAGGCCCATATATACCTGCCCCATATCGACCGTTTGCTCCCGATCCATCCGTGAATCAAGTGTCTACATCTGGATTGGTTTTGTAGGTGTGCTTCCAGTCCTCCCTAGTCGGTATTTGAACTTTGAAGTTTTCACCAACTAGTGTCTTCTGGGGATTCTGTCTTGTTTTAGATTGAAAGGGTGTTTATCAGAAAGTCACAGTCTTGTGTGTCCAGTCCTGGTTTCCTTCCACTCATCCTGACATCTTAATCTGTATGCTGTTTGTCTGGCAGTGTATTTGATCACTTGGTTTAGGTGCGGAATACTGAGTGCTACTTGCAACGTCTCAGTTGGTGTAGTTTTCATGGCCCCTGCTGCAGCTCTCAGGTATCCTCCCTGTAGGCTTTTGAGCAGGTTCCCTGCCTCCACCTTTTCCGCCCTTGACCACCAGACCACTGTTGCATACGTGAGTCTTGGTAACAATACCATCTTGTATAGCCATAAGGCTGTCCTGAGGTTTATTCCCCAGTTCTTTCCCATGGCTCTTCTACAAGCCCACATAGAGGTGTAGAATTTCTTCCTCTTTTCCTCGAGATGTGGTTTCCAGCTCAATTTGGGATCTAATAGGACCCCTAAATATTTTACTGAATTTACATAATTTATTTCCTTTCCCCAGAGCCTTAGTGTCTCAAGGGGTTCCGGTTTATATTTTCTGGTGAAGATCATAGCCGAGGTCTTAGTGGTGTTTACCATCAGTCCCCTCGTCCTACACCAGTTTTGAACAATTACCAAGGCTTCGTCCATCCGTTCCTTGAGTGTTGAGAGGAAATTACCTCTGGTGATAATGGCCACGTCGTTCGCGTATCCGTAGATTTCGAAGCCTGATTTCTTCAGTTTTGTGAGGAGTTCATCCAGGCACCACAGCAAAGGTGAGAGCACCTTCCCCCCTGCGGGCAGCCCGCCGCCGGCCTCCCATCAACTGAGCTGTTGCCATGATTGACGGTCAGTCTTCTGCCCTTCAGCATGCTTTGTGTCCAGTCGATTAGCGATTCTGGAATGTTAAATCTGTTCATGGCGTCTTTAATCGACGTATTTGAGATGCTATCAAAAGCCCCCTCAATGTCGATGAAGACACCTATTGCATATCCATTTGCAGCCATCTGAACTTCAACCCCGCTCACAAGATGATGCAGGGCAGTATCCATAGATCTGCCCTCCCTATAGGCGTACTGGGATGGGTTCAGCGGCTTTACAATAAGATAGAAGTCTTTCAGATGCCTATCAATAAGCCTCTCCAACATCTTTAAGATGAAGGATATGAGGCTGATAGGTCTGTAGTCCTTGGCCATCACATAGCCATTTTACCTGGTTTTGGTATAAATACCACTCTGGTATCACTTCAGGCTTTCAGAACGTGTCTCACAATCAGTGCTATGCTAGCCCTGAGCACTCTCGTCAGGGGGCCTACTAGGACCCTTCTCCCTGAGTAGAACAGGGTAGATGCCGTCTGGTTCTGGAGTTTTGTATGGTTCGAAGGTCTTGATAGCCCATTCGACTCCTTCAGGAGTTACCACCTTGGCTGCCAGTGTCCATTCTCTTGGTTTATGTTTTTCCCCGAATTTCTTGGTTTCCTATTGAAATTCAAAGTATCTTTTCTGGAACCCTGGGAAGTGTGTAGACATGAGATGTTTTAAACTTTCCTCTACTATCTCGGTATAGTTTCCGTTTGGGAGTTTAAGACATCCCAAACGTAGTGTGTTGTCTTTGCTGAGGATTCTGTTTAGCCTGGATGCTTCTGGAGCGCTCTCAATGCCTTTACAGAAATCCCTCCAGCTTTTCCTTTTAGCAATAATTATTGCTTTGCTATAGCCGCGTTGGGCGTTTCTATACGCTTCCCAATCGGCTATAGCCGAGTTTTTCCTCCTTGCTTCATTGAAGAGTCTTCTTACTTCCAACCTGTGCTTCGAAAGCTCCTTGCTCCACCAGGAAGTTTTGGTTGTATAGTATTTCGGTCTCTCCGGGCAATTTCCTTCATAGGCTTCTTTTATCGCATCACTTACAAACTGCGCCGCGTATTCAAGATTCTCTTCTGAGTGAAATTTGTTTGAGGCTTTCTTCAGGATGGCCTCCAGGTCCATCCTATAGCCTTCCCTGTTTGTAGTCTTTGGGTTACAACCCCATTCCTTATTCACCATGCCGGAGATTGTAGCGAATCTGTCTATGGTCAGAACCCGAGGGCTCTCCAGAGACCCTCCAGTCTCTCACCAGGTCCACCATTCCCCCAGTACTAATGGTGATAATCTAATACTTCTTGTCTTCTGCAGTCCATGAAGGTGGGTACCGTTTCTCTGTTAAGGATCATCAAGCCAGTGTCCATAATAAATTTGTGGAAGCTCTCTCCCCTCGGGTTCATATTCGAGCTCCCCCACCCTATATGGTGGGAGTTTGCATCGCAGCCCAATAGGAGTTCAAGCCCCCTCTCCTTCACATAGGACACCAGTTCTCTCACCCTTTTTGGTGGTGGTTTTTCTTGGGAGTCATGTAGATTGACCCTATGAGTAAGTCCAAGTGCCTATCCTCATCGTAGTCCAGCCTTGTCCGTATAACGGTGATGTCTCCATCGCTGAGCTGTGACATAAAAATAGCATTTAGTCCCTTAATTGCAATGCAGGTCCTAATTTTGTCCTGAGTGTCTGTTTTGTAGATGGATCTACAGCCACTCAGACCCTTTATAACGTTATTCAGGAGCCAAGGCTCCTGAATTACTGCTATTGCTTTCTGCATCACAGCCATGCTCCTGGCTAGAATCGCCGAGGCGCCTTTGCTGTGATGCAGGTTAATTTGGATTGTCGGTATCGCGAGCCCCGCCATTTTTAAGCCGACCCGCTCGCACCGACAGTCATCTCCTCCTTACGTTCTCCGTCGAGCAACCTTATGGTTGCCCGACCCAGTCCGCAGAAGGGTTTAAAACCACAGGTCTTCAGGGCCTCCAGTGAGCGATCGCCGATCAAAGAAGCGAAGTGGGCGCTTTTTGCGTCCCTACTTTCGCTCCTCCTCACGACAACCCACTCCCTGGCGCCCAGACCTGCGTTTTATCTGTTGAGGAGCTTTAAAGCTTCCTCGGCAACCAAATCAGGTTCCTCTACATGCACTACCACCCTCAGCCGGCAGTACATGCAGAGCGGTGCTTCCGATTTTGATTTCGATGGAAAGGCTTTTCAGCCAATCCATCGACTGTTGGTTGGTGCAGTTAAAAATAACTGCGCCATCCCTCTCCCATGCGCCAGTGAAGATGGGCGCTAGTCCATCCTCGGGAAGTTCGAGAATGTGCCTCCTGACCAGTCGCCTGATCTCATCCACCTCACTGGCACCTAGTTTCTTCTCAGGGTAGCCTTCTGCTACAAAGGCCATCCTGATAATACCCTTTGTTGCCTGGGTATACGACCCTTGGTCAGTGACCTTGGGTCTCCTGCTCGGGCGATTCTCCGCCGGACTGGGCGTCTGATGCACCGGTCTGGCACGCTTCTGCGTGCCCACCGTCGCACAGCCCCTCGCCCAGCGGAGTATGGGTATTAAAAGCAGGAGGAGAGATGGCTTTCTCAGCCCTCTCCTTCTCCTTTTTGAATCGACGCCTTGCAGCCCCGCTGTAACGAATACGGGTCTTGGGTAGACCTGCACTTTCTGCTTTTTTCTCCTCCGGTTGTTCGCTTCCTAGGGAAGCCACCCCCGAGAGGACTTTGTTTGTGTCTTCATTATTATTTTTCTCGTCTTCCATTTTGATCCCACGAGTACCGCGGACGCGCGATCTCACCCGGGCAGAGCCGCGAATGCCCGAGGCTTGGCTCCGTACTCCTGGAGTTCGCCCGGTATCCAGGAGGCACCGTTTGCGACACAGCTCCCCCTGCGCCATGCAGCTCCAGGCACGGTAGCTTACACCCTAGCTTGGGGGGTTCCTCTTAGTTGGCCGCCCACGTGCCTCCCCCCCCTTGAGCGGGAGGACCCCGTTTGCGACGATAAGCCCCACCACCCGCCCCGGCACGGAAACTCGCAGCCCCCGAGAGCGCCAGGCGTACCTGGATGTGGTCAAAAGTTCCCCCCGTCGGTTTTTCTACCTCGAGGCCCCGTACTTGCTTTCGCAGGTCAAATGTGGGTCTCGTGTCATATTACCGCGAGGAGTGCGGACCACGGGCACCCCAGGCGTCCCGCGACCCGCGGGCCCCCGCCCCGCGACTACTTCAAGATAGGAACCCTTTCGGGGGGGACATATACATATATAATATATATTGACAGAAAATATTAAATATCTCGTAAACTGTTAATTTTTTTATAATCGTTGATACTTTTAAGAACAGAATAATGGGACAAAAGGTAATACAAATTGGTATAAAAGATCAATCGGTGTGTATAAAAAGAAAATGCGTACTTACTTCAAAAAGAGATAAAATGGATAATTTTTTAAATAAATTATGTGTTTTATTTACACCAATTAATTCGTCTTATTATTCTGTTCATAATAATATTAAGGTACGATTATCAAAATTTAATAGTTTACTTGATATTTAATATTTTATATTAACGTACGTCAGACTAAAGTATAAAATATTAAGTGTACAAATTAATTCTCGACCATTTTTTATTAATTTTGTATTTTTTTATTTATTTATAAAAACATGAATACAAACTCAATCTTCAAAGTAATCTCCCTCGCTATCTATACATTTTTTTCATCTCTCAGGTAATTGCCGGATTCCAGATCGAAAAAATGATGGTGGCTTTGAATTAACGAATTCATCGAGGCTTTTTTCGACCTCTTGAACTGACTTGAATCGACAATCAGTTAGATGACATTATAGGGCTCGAAATAGGTGATAATCCGAAGGGGCTAAGTTTGAAGAATACACCACATGCAGGAGAAATTTCCAGCCTAAATCGGAATGGTTTCCAGAGTGTTTTTTGCTGTACGGTGCCGGGCGTTACCTACAGCAGTATCACCTTCCTTCTTCCACTGCCAATAAATGGCCTGTTCTTCTTCAAGAGCATCATTTAAACAAATCAATTGTTGTTGATAGAGCTCAGCAGTCATGGTCTGACCCTGTCGAAGCAACTCATAATGGATCACGCTCTTCTGATCCCATCAAATGCATCCCAGTCAGAAATGATAATAGAATCGATGTCGATTCAACATCAATTTGATGATTTCGACATTGAATCGACGTCGATTCGATGTCAATTTGATAATTTCGACGTTGAATCAACATCAATTCCATTATCATTTCTGGCTGGGATAGCAACACTTTTTTGCATGGATGTTCGGTTTTGCGATAGTCGTTGACGGCTCACATGGACGGACCCATGATTTTCGCCTCTTAGGATTTTCGTACAATATCCACTTTTCATCACAAGTAACAATTTTGTGCAAAAAATTATTTTTCTTGAACCTAGAGAGCAAAAGGAGAGCAGTATCGTGGCGTCTACTTTTGTTTTCGGAAGTGAGCTCATAAGGGACCCATCGGGATTCCTTGCAAATCCTTCCCAACTGTTTTAAGCGATAGAAAACGTCTTGATGGGTTACTCTAACAATAAGCGTATTTGCAAGTTCTAATTGCGTTTGACAAGAATTCTCGTTCAAAATTTCCTCCAACTCAATGTCTTCCACTTTTTTTGGTTGACCAGGACGTTCACGACCCTCAAGGTAAAAATTTCCCTCTCGAAACTGTTTTAACCATTTTTTACACGTACTATACGATACAGCATTCTCGCTCAAAGCCGAACAAATTATTTCGCCGCATTTTTTTTAAGTTAAAACGCGAAAGGCAGTGCCTCAAATATTTCTTTTCGAACGACATCGTGTTTATTGCTGATTTTTCAGGTTATGTTCACAGGAGGATCAAGTATTTTGGCTTCCTACTTCACCCATTAGAATGCGTGGAGGAGTCAGCGGTGACGAGGCCCCTGAAATCGGAGAGGGGGGCCCGACCGCTATTGACTCTGACATCACCACTTCGGATCTAAATCTCGAGGAGGGGAGGCGGGGCCCCTCGGAACGCCGGTGGTGTTATCCTCTTATAGATGTGAAGATGGAGGTGAACCCGGAGGCGGGTCCATCCTCTGCTTCGCCTTCTTTGAGATCGCGACCAACTGCGGCCGCCGCTCTGGAAGAGGAAGCGTACTCGGGAGAGGCCGAGACTCGATGGGACTGGCCTCTTTAGGTCTTCATCTGTACATGGTGTAAGTAGAAAGGTGAACCATTGCGCATAATGGCGGAGATTTGAAATCTTGACCAATCAGGGTTTGAGCTTTTTTGCAGCGCGCATATAAATCGTTTTCGAAGCACTGTTCAGATTGCACCTCCCAAAACTGCTATTAATTATGCACTTTTATTGCATGCGGATAACTCGGCTAATTTCAAGTCATATTGCAGACACTGTTATACGACATAAAAAGTGCAGTAAATGTGCTATAAAACTGTATTTATTCTGCGCCATATTGAAGATTTCGCATAAAAACTCAAAGTGTGATTGGTTGACTGCCCCCACTACTTCTAATCTACTGCGCATCCATCGGAATGGTTCACCTTTCACTTACACCATGCATCTGTAGGTACCTCATTTTAAAGCTAAAAAATGGCGCTTCAAAATTACTACAGAGGGGAGGATTCAATTTAAATGAGTTCTGGGGATCGATTCTGTATCTTGAAACAAGGTGAAAATTGCAAAAGTGAGCGAATATACTAGAACATTTATAATTTCATTGGTCAATATCTAGTAAATTTGCTCACTTTTGTAATTTTCACTTTGTTTCGAGATACAGAATCGACCCCCTGAAGTCACTGAAAGATAGGAGTCGAGAATTAATATTTGTACATCTAATATCATGTAACTATTTGTTTCTTTAAATCTGTACTTTTATACTTTTTGTTGGAAGTCAATGGCAGATTGGTGCGTTATGATTTTGTGTCTTTACGAAAACGCGAATTTTTTCTTTGGTTTTATGAACACACTTTCGTTTTCGTGCAGACCGCCACCATTTTATCATACACTTGCGCTCTCAATATTATTTGCGATATAAATAAACAGTATATTCATTAAATATTACATTCTTCGTGCTTTTAAGTACCCCAAAACACAATAGTGAATAGATTATGGGCCCAGTGCCTTGAAGAATCGAAGGGGGTTTGAGATAAAATCGAGAAAGGAGAGACAGCGAGAAAGTGAGCTTCGAGGTTAGTTTGGCTGAAAAAGATCGGCGTTCAACAAGAATGGAAAATTCATTTCAAGCGATGACTAAGTTCACTGGAGAGAACTGGATTACATGGAAATTCCAGGTTATGGTAATTCTGAAGGCGAAGAATGTATATGATATTGTGACTGGAACAAAGAAACGCCCCGCAGCAGCGGCCGACGAGTGGGACAAACTTGACGCAAAGGCGCAAGAAATAATCGTTACGAGGATGGAAGAAAGTCCGTTGGTACATCTATTGTCCTGTAAAACGTCTCACGAGATGTGGGAAAAGTTGCTTTCGGTATATGAGAAGAAGTCAAAGGTTAGTATTCACTTGCTGCAACAGAAATTTTTCGCATTGGAAACCAAAGGAGAAAGCATTTCGGTATTCATTTCTCGACTCGAAGAGATACGAAGTCAATTAAGACAAATGGGAGAAGACATATGTCTGAAAACATGTTTATCACTAAAATATTAATGTCGCTCCCAGAAAAGCTCAAACATTTTATACCAGCGTGGGAATCTACTGCGGTAGAGTCTCAAACAGTTCAGGAACTTACTTCAAGACTGTTAATTGAAGAGGAAAGGATAAATTCAACTGAAACTGTAACAGCACTAACAAGTAACGCCGTAAATAAGAAAAATAAGCAGAGTCACTCTCAGGTAGGAAGTCGAGCAGTTAAATGTTTCGCATGTAATAACGGGATATGTAGCCAAAAATTGTTTTACTTTGACAAAAGGATCAGAACAGAAGAAGGAACATAGAATATGCTTTTGGTGTAAGAAACCCGGACATATTATGGCGAACTGTCGATACAAGAATTTAAAACCTAAAGAAGAAAAAGAGAAACCAAAAGAAGAAACTGAAGGAAATGCATTCATTGGTGAAACTTTCGCTTTAAACTGGCACAAGGAAAATGAACAAGTAGTAGCGCTTGTAGGAGGACAACCGTTAAACGAGTCTGATTGATGTATGGATAGCGATGCGAGTGAGCATATGTGCAACAATATGAATCTCTTCGAAGACTACAGCGAGGTCACAAATAAACGCAAAGTGAAAATAGGCGACGGAACATTCCTTAAGATACATGGTGTCGGCACGGTAAAATTAAAGGCTTGGAATGGACACGAGTGGATCGAAACGAGAATATCTGAGGTATTATTTGTGCCGGACCTAAAAATTAACTTATTTTCGCTCGGTTGTGCATTGGATAAAAACTATAAAATGCAGTCAGATAATTCAATGTGCAAATTGATAAATAAAAATGGAAAGGCGTGTGCCATCGCGAAGAGATATGGTAAATTATATAAAATGATTTTTAAAACTACTCACGATACTTTAAATTGGAACGGGTGACGCAGAATGTATGCGATAAAGAAAATAACGCGGTTTGTAAAATTGCGGTTGAGACGATAACAAACTGGCATAAAAACTCGCACATCAAAACTACAATCAGTTCGAAGATTCTTAACGAGTAACAACATAAAATTTAAAGAGGATGTTTTTCAAGATACTTGCAAAGACTGTCTTGTAGGCAAACAACACAGGAGTTCAAATCCACCAAGTAAATCAAGAGCTTCAAGGACGTGCGAGCTTATTCATGGAGATGTATGTGGACCGATGGAGACTCCGTCCCTAGGAGGCGCGAGGTACTTCTTGTTATTGAAGGACGATTATTCGAACTATAGGTATGTGTTTTTTATTCAACACAAGTCAGAAGTCAAGCAGAAAATCGCCGGTTTCTTGAAAATGGCTGAAAACATAAATAAGGTAAAGACATTACGCACAGATAATGGTCTAGAATTCATAAATAAAGAGCTACAGTATCTTCTAGAAGAAAATGGCATCTGTCATCAGCGATCCGTGATATATATTCCGCAGCAAAATGGGCGTGCCGAACGTGAGATGAGAACTGTTGTGGAAGCGGCAAAAACCATGTTACATACTAATGGCATGTCAAAAGTTTTTTGGGCAGAGGCTGTGAACACGGCAGTGTTTGTTTTGAACAGAACAGATTCGAGTCCGCAAACCAAAAGTTCTCCATTTGAATTATGGCACTCAAAGGAGGTCGATACAGATATATTCAAGATTTTTGGATCGAAAGTAGCAGCACATATACCTAAGGAGAAAAGATTAAAACTGGATGCTAAGAGCAAAGAAGGGTGGTTCGTCGGATACAGTGAAAATACTAAAGGTTATAGAGTCTATTTCCCACAAGATAAGAAGGTTGAAATTTTGAAAGATATAATTTTCTTACAAGAAAAAAACGAAGTAAGGAAGGAAATAAGCACTGTTTTATTGGAAGATAAAGATGAAGAAGATGAAGAATACGAGCCGGAAAACGATTTTGAAGAACAAGATGAAGGATTAAATGACAGCGAATAGAAGGATGATGAAAGGATGATCAAATGAAGATTTTGCATCATGTGAAGAAAGAGAAGACTTGGAATCGGGATACAACCTAAGAGATAGAAAGAAACTGAACAAACCATCAAGATATATAGACTATGAAAACAGTTTTATGTCACTAGTAGAAGAAGGTGAACCACAAACGTACGATGAAGCTATATCCGGTAAGAAGTCAAAGATGTGGAAAAGGGCAATGAAGTGCGAAATAGAAGCGTTAGAAGAAAACGACACTTGGACAGTGGTAACGAAGCGTAGAAATTGCGAGATCGTTGATAGTAAGTGGGTCTTTAAGAAAAAGAAAAATGAAAGAGGTGAGATTGTACGGTATAAAGCAAGGTTAGTAGCGAGAGGGTTTAAACAAAAAAATGTTTCCTTTTCTGATGTTTATAGTCCAGTAGCGAAGTTACCAACTGTTCGAATATGCTAGCAATTTGCAATTTTTTAAAAATACCAGTACTACAAATGGATGTGTGTAACTTGCTTTTTTATATGATAGAATAGATAGCGATGTATATATGTCAGTGCCACAAGGTTTTAATTTAAAAGATAACGAAGTATGTAAACTTAACAAGACTTTGTAATTTGTAAGGTTTGAAAGAATCTCTAAAAGGCTGGAACAATAGATTTCACGAAGTAATGACTGAACAAGGATTTGTTAGATTAGAATACGATTATTGCTTATATGTAAATACAACAAGTCAGGCAGAGTTTTTTTGCTTTTGTACGTAGATGATTTACTGTTAACTGGAACGGATAAACAAGGTGTATTAAAAATAAAAGATGTCTTAAATAGCTGTTTTAAAATGAAAGATTTTGGTAATGTAAAACATTTTTTAGGAATAGTTATTGAACAAAATGTTAAAAGAGGTGAAATCATCTTAAATCAGTCTAAATACTTAGAGAATATCATTGCAAAATACAATATGGAAGAATGTAATGCAACATCCACACCAATGGAAGTAGATTTTAAACATGAAACTCAAAAAAGAAAAGTCTGAATCTGAAGAGTTAGAGCATCGATGTAGAAAGTTAATTGGTACTTTAATGTATGTAATGTTATGTACAAAACCAGACCTTTGTAACGCAATAAGTATTTTAAGTAGATATCAGTCGTGTGCAAGTGAAGAGCTATGGCGAGCATTAAAGCGTGTTTTAAGATACATTAATGTAGGGAGCCGGCGTCGGTTAAGTTACCTTTGTAAGCGGCGCAATGATGCAAGGTGCTGCGCGGGAGCACTTGCGCAAAAGTGATAAGCGGCGCGAGCGACGCGAGAAGAACGAGCGATAATGGCCATGAGAGCGTTGTGCGAACGACACGTGTATCAGGTTGATGACTGAATTAAAGTATATTAATCTAGTGTGCAAGTTATCCGTTTCATCTTGTCCCTCGATACTATCCTCCGCGTATATATTTCCTACATTAAAGGCATTTAAGTTTAGTTTATAGACGCAACGAGATTGAAAACGACTGTATTGTAGGTTTTGTAGACTCCGATTGGGCAGGCGATAGCATTGATCGTAGATCGACAGCGGACTATGTTTTTAAAATTTTTAATTGTTCTGTCTCATGGATTAGTAGAAAACAGCCCACAGTAGCATTATCGTCTACGGAAGCTGAATATATGGCGATGAGTTTAGCGGCTAGCGAAGCGTGTTGGCTCAGATTTTTATATAAAGATTTTAATATTCAGGAAGATTTTGTTTGTGTTAAACTGTACGAGGATAATCAGTCTGCAATTCGAGTGAGTAAAAATCCAGAATTTCATAAACGATTAAAACACGTAGATATTAAACATCACTTTGTAAAAGAAAAAATTAGAGAAGATGCTGTAATGGTTACTTATGTTAATACGAACGAACAGGAAGCAGACATCTTAACAAAGCCTTTATAGGAAAGAATCAGTTTATTAAACTAAGAGAAGCCATAGGCGTGGTTTAGTATTCCTTACAAGCGAGTGTTCTGAGCATTATTAGTAATAAAGTATGTAATATGCGAGCAAGAAGTTTTATTTTTGTTATTGTAAGCGATAAATCTAAAATTGTTTGTAAGAATCTGCCTTTGAGAAGGGTGTGTTGGAAGTCAATGGCAGATTGGTGCGTTATGATTTTGTTACTTTACGAAAACGCGAATTTTTTCTTTGGTTTTATGAACATACTTTCGTTTTCGTGCAGACACCGCCACCGTTTTATCATACACTTGCGCTCTCAATATTATTTGCGATATAAATAAACAGTATACTCATTAAATATTACATTCTTCGTGCTTTTAAGTACCCCAAAACACAACACTTTTATATGCAAAATTGTTAAAAGATTCATATTATGTAAAAAAATGTATGTAATTCCATTTAAAGAAGTAGAGATGACCTTTATATCTTTTTGATGTCTCACCTAAATAAAAAACAATGCAACCGTTTCTCTCACAACCGTTTCAATTTCATCTGAAACATTTTTTCGTATTATCAAAAACAATATATTATACATATATATGTATAGTATATGTATATATAACACATATACATAAAACAGTATATAGGATGTTACGGATACATACTAGGCAGTATGACGGGTTGCATAGTGAGGAGCGTTCTGGACAGCCAAAAGCATTTGAAGACGAAGAATTGCAGGCATTGGTGGAGGAAGACCCATGTCAAACGCAAAAACAACTTGCAGAAACATTAAATTGTGATCGATTTGTTATTTCCGATCATTTGAAAGCCTTGGAAAAGATCTACAAGGAAAGAAAATAGATCCTATATGAACTAAAGCCAAGAGACATTGAAAGGCGAAAAACCACCTGCAAAATTCTGCTTGCTAAGGCAAAGAAAGGTATTTTTGCACCGAATGGTGACTGGTGATGAAAAGTGAATCTATTTCGATAACTCTAAACGCCGAAAAACCATTTGCGATCCAGGCCAACCATCGACATCGATGCCAAAGCGGAATATTCACGGAAAAAAGGTAATGCTCTGTACTTGATAGAATCAGAAGGGTGTAGTGTACCATGAGCTGTTGAAATCTAGTCAAACAATCACAGAGGGAATCTCTACCGAGAACAAATTATCCGTTTGAGCCGAGCATTGTACGAAAAAACGACCAGAAAATGAAACGAGACAGTATAAAGTGATCTTGCTTATTCATGACAATGCTCGACCTCACGTCACAAAACTCGTTAAGAAAATGTTAGAAGCACTTCGCTGGGAAGTGCTACCCCATGCGGCTTATTCACCAGACTGTTCCCCTTCCGATTACCATTTGTTTCGGTCGATGGCACACGCACTTACAGAGAAACACTTCACTCTTATGAAAGCGTCGAAAAATTACCTACGTCGCGCAGTCGTTATACCTACTGAATAGCGTGTGTGCCCCTCTATAAAGTCCGTTATGCAACCCATCATACTGCCTAGTATGTATCCGTAACACTTATATTATAGTAAACTATATTTTAAGTTCTACCTTACAGTAAGAATTTAAAAATTAATAATAAATATTATTTGTTATTTTTAAATCAATGACTTAATTTTATAAAAAAAGAAATTAAGAATTAATAAAAAATTATT